AACAACGCCGAGGATGACTTCGTCAACAGCGGGTTAAGGGTTAGAGCAAAAGCATCGGTCCCAAAGGGTCGCCTTGCTGTACGCCCTCGCACGATTCAACCACCCAGGCGTCGTAACCAAGAGAAAAGACTCGGCCATATGCGGAATGACAAAAATTATAAATTTGAGGACAGTGCTGCTTAACTGCCTCTAACATTGAGTCTCTTCTCAGGGTGTTGAAAGCGTTCTTGAAATCAATCTTCAAGAATCCCCACCGTTTTGGAAGTGCTGAAATCAGTTCACGTACGGCGTGGACGGCCGCCTCAGCACCACCTTTCACACCGACGCCCAATTGGATAGCATAGAGTTTGGCTTTGACCTGTTCCAACACTAGCGCCAGAGCGAACTTACTGGCCAGCCTCCTCCAGAAATTTCCCACCGCGATGGGTCTGATCTCTCCATCTTTTTTGTTTAAAGCCACCAGACGGCCCCCAAAAAAGAAACGGCTAACCGCGAGAGGGCAGACCCCAGATAACAACAAATTTACAAACCGGGTGAGGTTATTTAACAATTCATCGGTGGGCGTCGGACCGGAAAGTAAATTCTTTATGTGCTGAGGCCTCAAGCCATTAAGGCCTCCCGATGAACCATTATTAAACGACTTTAAAGCCGTCAACACCTGGGCTGGTGAAACGCGACCATTGGACGGCTCCTGCGCGGGGAAAGCTCGCCTGTTCAATGGAGCACTGGGATGAATAGCTTTGAGTTTAGCGAGTGTCTCAGGCGAGCTCTCCGCCAGGCCTGCGGGCGAACAAGCAAGTCTGACGGCCGCCGAGAGACTGCCCTGTTCAATCCGAGTGGTTACTGCACTGATCCAACTGTTTGGGTAGTGCTTACGCGGTTTGGTGTTGTGGTCAGTGTTGAAGCTTGCCACAATAATCTCGACCTCGGTCGAACTGAATTCGGCCAACCGTTTAATAACGTAATTGGCTTGATTAGTCCTGCGACCGCCCCTGGTGGGCTTGAACAAAACAAATGCGAAAAAACATTGGAGCCTACATTAGTTGCGAATAACAGTTCCCTGCTGTCGCCTGATCTGACGCTGATCATTTTGCATATTTCCTTA